TCTTTGATGGATTATAATGGATTATTTTTGTCTCGGAAATACATTATAAATTGATTAGAATCCATGGGCGCTCGGTGCGGGAAACACTGGTCCATAGACCTCAAAGGCAGTCGGAAAATCCAGGGTTTTACCCTGATACGAGCAGTCTTGTTGTGATTATAGACTCTGGCTTTATGGTCGCCGATAGGTACGGTGGAATAAAATTGTAGGGTAGCACTATGGTGGATAGCAAATACGTCTTTTTAAAAAACTTGAAATTTTTGCGAAGAAAAAACAGAGTGATCGGAAATATTTTGTTTAAATATATCATATTGTAATGAATATTGCTCTTGTGGTAATGATTTCAAAACTTTTTTTAAAAAACGTTAACTGTTTTATTAAATTGTCTCACTCAAAATGTTGCAACAAAAACTATCTTAGACGCGAGAAAGGACAGTCCAAAAAACTAAGTATTTGCTTTTCAACTGCTATTGCTTTTGTGTAGATTTTGGCGGAGGAGGAAACTGTTGGAGCACTACGCTTGGAAAGTCCGGAAGACAGGAAATTGATTTGCAAAATACGCCATTCATGTTTGCACCTGGTTTCTTTTTTCACGCGGGCGGATGGGGAGGCCATTATCAGGGCCCTCGAGAGTTGGAACCACAGCGTTCACTCTTAGTGGCGGGAGGTGGTTGCGGAGTCATAGTAACCATTTCGGGGAAGTTCCCACCAACTGAAGAAGATTTGAGGTTAAACTACATTCCTCTCAACATGTATGATCGCACTGGAATTATTACGCCTTAAAGCTTAAAAGCAGAAATGTGATGAATATAAACTCCCTCTTAGCGTGCTAGCTTTATCGGTTTAGTTGTGTCATGATTCATAGTTCCTTTTTGTAGCCAATTAGAATCGAGTTTTGTGCTCACTCGTACCTAAGAAAATCTTTAATTCTGCCAAGAAATACTTAATGTCCCATCTCAATTTCTAGTCAGGAATTCTTTGCGAAATTTTTAAATAACCCGTACCGAGAAAATTCTTTATTTCTGACCTGAAATACTTTGGGATCTACTTAACAATCCCCCCCCCCCCTATTGTACCTACCAAAGAATCTCCCCCCTTTCAAGAAAGGGGGGGATTGTTAAGTTGATCCCTGGGAACCTACTTAGCAATCTCCCCCCCCCCCCCCCCTATTGTACCTACTAAAGAATCCCCCCCCCTTTCTTGAAAGGAGGGGAGATTGTTAAGTAGATCCATACTTTGTATCTACTCTAATTTCGGATCAGAAATTCTTTTTAAAATGTTTAAATAAGACTGCTCGTATCAGGGCGAAGCCCTGAATGTTCCGCCTGCATTTTAGGGTCTATGAAGCAAACATGAAAAATTTAAATGTAATGAAATAATTTTTTTTTAATTTGAGATTTTTTCGTGAAAACATTCCCCCACACGTCATATAAAGTACAAAGTGACGGATTTTGCTCCTAATAACAAACCAGTTGTGGCATATAAGCTTCCTTGAACCAATTTGGAACGATTTCTCAGACGGATTAAATCTCGCTTACGCGTTAATAGCGCTAAACATATCGCGCGTTAATTGTCTCAAATTGTCCAAAATGGCTATCTTTAAACCCCCATAACTTTACGAAAAATGATAACAAGGGATTATTTTTCAAATTTAAGCTTCCCGGGTTGACTAAAAATGCTAGTCATACAGTTTTCATATGGAAAAATGCTAATCATACACTTTTCATGCAATTCCATGAGTACAGAAAATTGCATGAAAGGTCTATGATTAGTATTTTTTCATATTGTGGAAATTGTATGACTAGCATTTTTCTACAAACCAAAATTGATTTTTCTATTGATTTTTTACATTTTAAATTTTTTGGTTGTGTTCTTAACCGAACACAAATGACATAAACCTTGGTTACTCAAATGTAGTAAGCAACGATTTGCCCTTCTCGCATTGAAAATGCATTGGAAACAGCCTGGAATGTTTTAATTCTGTCTCACACAAATAATATAACGAAAAAAAAACGAACTTTTAAATTTTTAAATTTTGGCAAAAATTTTCAAAGATGATTAATTCTAAAATTTGAATTTTTAAATTACCAGACATTGATCAAGGCATAGAAAAACATGTCATACAAAAAGAGGAGTTTTTAGCGTTTTTGAAAAAAAGTACGAAGAGAAAAGGAAAAAAAATCCAATATTAGTATATCCACGACTACATTATACCCAGAAAAAATTAAATTTTGCAGGCAAATTTTTTTTTCAAAAAATGTTGGTTTGAGTAAGAAAATCAATTTGCGGTTGAAAGAAAACACAAAACAATTTTCGGGTGCAATTTCAAAAATACTGAAAAATGTTTGTCGTCGCCATCAAAAAAATGCTAGTCATACATTTTCCATATATGGAAATTGTATGATTAGCAATTTTTTGACAAAAAGTTTTTCTTTTTATGTAGTACGATACACCGAATTTTATGTCAAAACAAGAGAAAAGTTATTTCAAAATTCGAAGACACCATTTCAGCGAAATGTATGAAATTTGTGTGATTAGTTTTTTTCATAGACTTAGTTTATGGAATTGTATGACTAGCATTTTTGGTCTATGTAGGTCAACCCGGGTTAGGACAGCAATATCTTTCGAATGATGTAAAAAAAGTTCCCTCGAAAATGGCTAGTTAAAAAATCGAAATTTGTTTTAAGAAGAAAAAAACCCACCCCGAGCACAAGTAGTCCGTTACTTTCGTTACAAAAATCGGAACAATCTAGCATAAATTCTCTTTAAATTCTTTGTTTCTTATCCTAATTCTCATCAAAAATTAGCTAAATCTAGGCTATTTCTAGCTAGAAAAAAGTCTCCTGGTGGGATCGAACCACTGACCTTCTGCCTGCCAGGCATTTGCTCTATCCACTATGCTACAGCCCTTCATGATACATCATAGTTTTAGCAGTACAAAAATTGTTCCATAAAACTTCTATCTAGAAAAACAGCTTCAATTGGGTACGGGAAAGCATGGATTTTCTAAAGTTTTTTTATATCTAATCCAATTTCTAAGCCAGTTTTCCAAAAGTGGGCTATTTCTAATCAGAAAAATTTTATTTCTTATCTAATTTCTGTTCAGAAAATTTTTTAATCTAGGCTTTTGAAAACAGTTAACTTTTATATATTCAATTTGAAAATGGCCGAAATATTTTAAATAACGAGAAAAAGTTAAGGATTTTTTCCACTAAGAATGTCACTGACGAGTCACAATACGAGTCCTAATGTGTGTCACAATTTTGACAGTTCGAGTCTGTGTTTTCCGAAACTGTTTACCGCCTCTCCCCCACACGCTGCTTGACTGATCCTCTCCATATTCTCCCTTTTGGCCGTCCAGAGGTCCACGACTTAAGAAAATACCGGCGCGACTCAAATTTGGCAATTCCAGACCGGCACGACTTTAAATTGGCAATTCCAGACCGACGCGACCAAAATTTAGCTATTGAAAAAGGGCACGACTGAAAAAACCACAGCGACCGGCGCGACTCAAACACCATCGGAACCGGCGCGACCTAAGGTAATGGCGCGACCGGTTCCACTAAAAATTTTCAATTTCAGACCGGCGCGACTTGCGAAATGCAGCTACTGAACCGCAGCGACAAGCGCGACTGAGCAAAATACCAAAGATATTTTCTTAAGGCGCGCTGTGGGTCTTTTCTTAAGTCGCGCCGCTTAAGTTTTTTTTTAAGTCGCGCCGCTTAAGTTTTTCTTATTTCGCGGCGTCGGGCTTTGCTTAAGTCGCGTCGTCGGTCTTTTCTTAAGTCGCGCCGTTTAAGTCTTTTCCTAAGTCGCTCCGTCAGTCTTTTTTTTAAGTCGCGCCGCTTAAGTCGTTTCTTAAGTCGCGCAGCTTAAGTCTTTTATTAAGTCGCGCCTTCGCTCTTATCTTAAGTCGCTCATAATGCATGAATTATAATTCAACAAAAGGTTTCTCAAATCTAATTTAAGATCTGAAATTTTGTTTGTCAAGGTTATTTCAGATATGAAATTTTCTATTTCAGATCCAAATTTCAGGTCTGAAATTTCCAAATTCTTATCAAGATCTGAAATGAAGAATTTCAGATCTGAGAATCAATTAATGTAAGAAATAAAAAATTTCAGATCTTGCGCAGATAATCCGCGGAGCACGGGTTGTCATCCCCACGCCATTCTTTCTTCAGAGCAATGACATGTACCAAATTCAATTCAAATAAAGAAATAACTAAAGCAGCTATTTTCGCGATATTTCGGCGTGCTGAGGTAAATGAGTGGTAAGGATTTTATCGGCAAGTTTTTGCGATGTCTCAATGAGGTCCGTGCTTGCTATTTTTCGAATTTGTTATACTGATGCGGGACGAAATATGTATTTGCATTTTGCCCACAACCTTGGTTGTGTTTTTAATAAAAATAAGTTAGATGAGTGAAAGATTTGAGAGTTTGGATTTGTAACAAAATCATAACAATTATCTTGCAAAAAATAAGGAGTAGCCGCTTTCGAGGGACATAAGCTGCAACAAAAGTGTGGGTGTAGCCGCTTATGTTAAGGAGCTTTTTAATACAATCTGCTCTTAAAGCGCCGTCGATCTTATCTTAAGTCGCGCCGCTTAAGTTTTTTCTTAAGTCGCGGCGGCGGTCTTTTCTTTAGTTGCGCCGCTTCAGTCTTTGCTTGAATCGCGTATTTATGGTATTTTATTAAGTCGCGCCCCTTAAGTCTTTCCTTAGGTCGCGCCGTTCAAGTCTTTTCTTAAGTCGCGCCGTCAGTCTTTTTTTAAGTCGCGCCGTCAGTCTTTTTTTAAGTCGCGCCGTCAGTCTTTTTTTAAGGCGCCCCGCTTAGGTCTTTTCTTAAGTCGCCGCGCTTAAGTCTCTTCCCAAGTCGCACTGCTTAAGTCTTTTCTTAAGTTGCGCCTTGAAGGTCTTTTCTTAAGTCGCGCCACTTAAGTATTTTCTTAAGTCGCGCCCCTTAAGTTTTTTCTTATTTCGCGGCGTCGGGCTTTGCTTAAGTCGCGCCATCGGTCTTATCTTAAGTCGCGCCGCTTAAGTCTTTTCCTAAGTCGCGCCGTCAGTCTTTTTTTAAGTCGCGCCGCTTGAGTATTTTCTTAAGTCGCGCCGCTTAAGTCTTTTCCTAAGTCGCGCAGCTTATTTCAGATCTGAAGTTTTCTATTTCAGAGCCAAGTTTTAGGTCTGAAATTTTCAAATTCTTATCAAGATCTGAAATTACGAATTTCAGATCTGAGAATCAATTTATGTAAGAAATATAAAACTTCAGATCTTGCACAGATAATCCGCGGAGCACGGGCGGTCATCCCCACGCTTTCTTTCTTCAGAGCACTGGCCTGTACCAAATTCAATTCAATTAAAAAAATAACTAAGGCAGCTATTTTCGCGACATTTTGGCGTGCTGAGGGAGATGAGTGGTAGGGATTTTATCGGCAATTTTTTCCAATGTCTCATTGAGGTCCTTGATTGTTGTTTTTCGAATTTGTTTACTGGTGCGGGAGGAAATATTTATTTTCAGAAATTGCATTTTGACCAAAACCTTGGTTTTGTATTTAATAAAATAAGCAAGAAGAGTGAAAAATAAAATGTATCCATCAGTTTGGAGTTTTTCCAAAAACATAAATATTATCTTGCAAAAAATAAGACAAAAAAAACGAATTCAAAATCGTAAACATTGGTCATAAATTCTCCCATCTTAATTTTCTCAAAGGCTGCAAACAAAATGATAAAGCAAAAAGAGACCGATGAAGTATGCAGGAACAAAAAAATCTAGGTAGTCTATCTTTGGAAACCCCTTATTGAATATCAGGTGAGTACATTTGTAACACAACAAATCTTAGTGAAAACAAAAACAGCCGGTTACTCTGCAAGTAGCACAGAACCTTCTAGAATTTACGGATATTCGACCGTCATGATAAAATAGGCAAATTAGGAAACAGTTTTTGTAGAAAAGTGAAGAGAAAAACGATAAAAATC